TATAGGGTTTAGGGTTTAGGGTTTAGGGTTTAGGGTTTAGGGTTTAGGGTTTAGGGTTTAGGGTTTAGGGTTCAGGGTTTAGGAACTACTATCTGAAGTTTACGATATTAGGGGTACCTTTTTGGGGTCCCTATTATGAGGGGATCCTACTGTTGTCTATTTTAGGCGGTCCCCTATTGACCCAAAAATAACCCGCCGCCGTGGAAACCGTACCCTATTTTTTGTTAGAGTTAGCGTTTCGCCTCGGCGGCAGACCTATTTTGGGAGTTTTTGGAAAGGCGTGATTTCGTATGTCGTTTTTGCGAAACGTTGGGTTTTTGCAAGATTTTGGGTTCATTTTGTTGTTGGGGCCTTTGAGCGCTATGGGACTTTCATTTCAGGACTTTGACGGTTTTTGTGGGACGTGTGTTGGGCATGGTCGCGAAAGGCTGGACGCTTGTGACAGATTTTCTTCTTCCACATCCTTGTGCAGTATGTTGTACAAAGAAGCGAAAACGCTGTAAATACCAGTGTTTTGGGCATGCATGCAATAATATGAATGACGTTCTTTCCCCCCCCCCCCCCCACCCCCTCCCCCCCCACCCCTCCCCCCCCACCCCCCCTCCCCCCCCCACCCCCTCCCCCCCCACCCCCTCCCCCCCCACCCCCTCCCCCCCCCCACCCCCCCCCCAAGAAAAGTAGCAGAAACCAGGTACGGTTACACCGCCGTATGCAAAAATAAGGGCTTAGGGACTAATGTTTGTTTGGTACTTCTTTTTGGGGTTGAGGGTTGAGGGTTTAGGGTGTAGGATTTTTGGAAGCCTTAAATTCAATCGCGCCACGGACCCGTCACCACGCACGAGGAAGAAGCCTGGCGACCTGGGCGCTGCAGGGAGGAAGTGGACCCTCAACCCCAAAACCCAAACCTTAAACCCCAAAACCCTAAACCCCACACCCTTAACCCTAAACCCTAAACAATAAACCCCAAACCCTAAACCCTAAACCCCAAACCCTAAACCCCAAACCCCAAGCCCTAAACCCTAAGCCACAGGGAGCTAGGGTTTGTAGTCCGACAGGCCTTCTGCACGACAGAATTCGGGAATGCTGAGCCGTGGCTGTGATCCTGGCGCCGCGCGGGTTTAGGGTTTAGGGTTTAGGGTTTCGGGTTTCGGGTTTAGGGCTTAGGGCTTAGGGCTTAGGGCTTAGGGCTTAGGGCTTAGGCACACGCGACCCTCCGCCAGAACCTCCTTGGAGTACAAAACGCTATTGCTAGCTTGCACTTGCACCCTAAACCCGAATCCCAGAACCATAAATCCTATAAATCCTATAAACCCTGTAAACCCTATGAACCGTATAACCACTGTAAACCTTATAAACCCTACAAACCCACTAAGCCCTAAACCCTAAACCCTAAACCCTAAACCCTAAACCCCGCGCTCCTGGCGTCCTCCTCGAGGCCTAACTCGAGGAGGCTCCACTCGGGTCGCAGCACGCCCTTTGAGAGTCTGAGAGGGTTTAGGGTTTAGGGTTTAGGGTTTAGGGTTTAGGGTTTAGGGTTTAGGGTTTAGGGTTTAGGGTTTAGGGTTTAGGGGCTAGGGTCTTCAGCGTTTAGGACTTACTGTTTAGGGTTTAGGGGTCCGTTAGGGTTTCGAGAGCTTCTGGGGTTTTTGGGGCTTTCAGGGTTTGTGGGGCTTGCATAAACGGCGTGTGCGGTTTTAAGGTTGTGTTGGGCTTCTGGGCTTTTGGGGTTTCTGGGGCTTCTAGAGCTTGTGGGGTTTTCTCAGCACTCTAATTTCTTGAAGTCCCCAAACCAGCAGCTTAGGCTCTGGGGTTTAGGCTTCAGGGTTCAAGGTCTAGGGTTCAGGGTTTGGGGTTCAGGGTTTCGGGTGTAATGAGGGTTTAGGGCTTGTAGGGTGTCTGAGGTTTTAAGGGTTCAACCCTAAACCCTAACCCTGAACCCCTCAACCCTTGCCCTAAACCCTACATCCTAACCCTTTACCGCCCATGCCCTACACTAGACTACGATTTGCTGAAGAACCCCAAAAAGAAGAAATACACAATCCCCGAATTACCCTATTTTTGGGCCAGCATAGTCGCACCTCCCCCCCCCTCCCCCTCCCCCCATAGTATCCCCACCCCCCCCCCTCCCCCCCCTGTGGTTCATGGTCTGTGATTCTGGGTTTATGGTTTAGGGGTTGAGGGTTAGGCTGTAGAGTTCAGGATTTTCACTCTGGTCCATTGGTTCATTGCGGGTTTAGAGTTTAATCAGGGTTCAAGGTTTGGGGTAATGGTAGGTTTACGGTTTCCCCTCTCCCCCCTGTGCTTCGTGCTGAGTTTACGCTTCAGGGTTCAGGGTTAAAGCGGCTAAGGTTTCGGGTTTACCCTTCTCCCTCCTGTCGTTCATTGGTGGGTTTAGGTTTTAGGTTTTAGGGCTTAGGGTTCAGGGTGTGGGGTTTAGGCTGAGGTTTCTCTGTCCTCCCCCCGTGGTCCGTGGTGTTTTTAGGGTTAACAGGCAGGGTTTGGGGGGGGATGCCATGGGGGGGGGGGGGGGTCGATTACGCGGAACGCGGGCGCATATAGAGGGAAGAATATTAGATATTTTTTGGGGGGTTCTTAAGCAAACAATAGTAGAATGGTACTGAATCGACCTACCCAAATCTTGCCGGGAGTCTCCCCCGCTTGTGACCAAGCTGGCAATGCCCGTGCAGAGGCGCTTCTGGGCTTCGCGACGTAGGTCCTCCGAAAAATACATGGTAGTTGCAGCTTAGGGCTTAGGGCTTAGGGCTTAGGGCTTAGGGTTTAGGGTTTAGGGTTTAGGGTTTAGGGTTTAGGGTTTAGGGCTTAGGGTTCAAGGTTTAGAGTTTAGGGTTTAGGGTTTAGGGTTTAGGGTTTAGGGTTTAGGGTTGAGGGTTTGGGGCTTAGGGTTTAGGGTTTAGGGTTTTGGGTTTAGTGGCGTGGCATTTGATTCTTGGCTCCAGAAGCTGAGTAAGCCGCTGCTAAGGATGGTCCTGCACAGTGGCCGTCGGAGACACCGCGACCTGCACGCTCCGCCCACTGAGCAGCGAGACGTGGATGGACATTGCCATGGCTGGGGCTTCTTGAAAACCATGCTCCACACTAACCCAGTCATCGAGCGAACAGCAAAAAGCGCGCGTCCTAAGCCCTAGACCCTAAGCCCGAAGCACCAAACCAAGAGTCAACTGACACCCTACGCCTAGGAAAAGCCACCATGCACATCCTTGGCTCCAATAAGGCATCACTAGGCCTGGGTCACAGCAGTCAGTTCCTGAAACTCTGGCCCCACTGTGGATTTTGGGGTTAAGGTTTGAGGGTTTTAGGTCCAAGGCTTAACGTTTAGGGTCTAGGGTTTCTAGTTTAGGTGCCAGAACCCAGAATCTTGATGTAGGAAATCTACGTCATCCCCACACTTCGCTAACTCGAAGGACGCCATCGTCGCCCTACCCTTCTTGCTGTTTGGCGCTACTGTACGGACCCAAACCCTAAACCCTAAACCCTGCCCTACACCCTCAACCCTAAACCGAAGCCAGCCGTGGGCGCTGCGATAAGCAGCGGCGAGCGCTACCGCGTGGCGACAGGCCCACTAGCCCGAGCTACCAGGCGAAGCCTGGCGAGGGCTCGGGGCCGGTGTCTGCGATGAGCACGACCCACGTTTTGAAAGTTTCAAATTAAAGCATGCGAGCGCTCAGGGGCCTCCTCCCCTCGTGAGGGGCTTCCACTGGCCTCCCTGTATGGTCGTAAGGGCCTCCCTTTAAGGAACCTGAAATGCAAGACCCCCAAACAGGCTGAGAAATCTCCCCGTTGGCCCGGTAAAAACGCCTTCCGCAAGGGGCCGCTCCCTCTAACCCCCACAATGCATGCTCACGGGCCTCCGACACCTCCCTAACAAGTCTCTCCATAAGGCTGCTTCGCCTCCTCAATGTAAGGGGCCTGCAAGGGCAAGGCTCAAGTATCCATTCCCCATGAGGGGCTTCCGAGGCCTCCCTTTAGGGGCCAGTAAGGGGCAAGGCACCAAACATCCAGAAACGTTTCCAGCCTGCCCAAGGTTGAGATGTGGGTGGGGTTGGGAGAGCGCGTGAACCTGGGCGCACAACACCACACACGTCCCGCGTAGAGTTGTCGGGTCATGTTGTCAGAGAGTGTCACTTGGCCAAGGTCGGCCGGAAGTTCAAAATCCTCTGAAGAATTCGACGTAGCCTCGTTGATAGCTGCATCCTACTGGTCCTCTTCCTCAACGTCAAATCGCCACGGGTTGCTCTTTGACAGCCTTCTGGCTGCAGCACCATTGGTCATGGGCTTCACCACCCCCATCACATGCATTGGCATGGACCATGCTTGTCTCTTCCACAGCTCTGCAACATCTTGAAGCGCTGCATTCCTGCAGCTGAAAAGACCAGCAGTTTTTGCTGCAAACCCTAAACCTTGAGCCCTAAGTCCTCAACCCTCAACGCGAAACCCTATGCATGCTGTCGTCTGATTCCCCAGCATGGAATGCCTAGAGCCAAATGGACTGCGAGCGCCGGGAAACTGCTGCCGAGGCGCGGGGGCCAAGAAGGATGCTGCACCAGCATTTGCTTAAGAACCGCCAAGAAACTTAAAGATCATGATCCCTATATTGCCCTTGGAAGGAAGAACAGAAGAATCCCTATATAACCCTTGGAAGGAAGCTTACGTTCCATCTTTCGGGTGGTTCTTATATTGCCCTTAGAAGGAAGAATCTAATAAATCCCAATATTGAAGCTGACAATTTTCATTCCTCGGGTGATTGTTAAGCAGATAGGGGCTCACGAAAAGGGATGCCAGACAGTAGTTCACCCTGGGCGGAGGGCGGAGGAGCCTTGCGTAGGTTGCGGCACCGGCTCCGGCAAAATGCCGCCACTGCCGAGCTCGACTCACGAGACGATGACTCGGCACAAGCCCTAAACCCTAAACCCTAAACCCTAAATCCTAAACCCTAAACCCTAAACCCCAAACCCTAAACCCCAAACCCTAAACCCTATGTCCTGGATAGCCGCCCCCAGATTCTCGTCCGCATCTGCCTGGAAACTCCGCAGCTGAAGCCCGAACCCCCCAAGCACACCCTAAACCCTAAACCCTAAACCCTAAACCCTAAACCCTAAACCCTAAACCCTAAACCCTAAACCCTAAACCCTAAACCCTAAACCCTAAACCCTAAACCCTAAACCCTAAACCCTACACCTATGCCGTGTGGGATTCCATGTGTGTGTGTGTGTGTCAGAAAAATGGAGAAACTCAGCAGCAGCCTCTAAGCCCTAAACCGTAAACCCTAACCCCAAACTCTAAACCACGCACTTCAACAGCCGTTTAACTCCGAAAAGCTGTAGCCCCGAAACGCAGTTCAGACGCTTCTCGGGACGTCAAGAGCTCACAGGCATCAAGGGCTTATGACTCTAGGGCTTAGGGTTTCGGGTTTAGGGTTAGGGGTTTTAGGGCTTGGGAGTTTCGGGTTAAGGGTCAGGGGTTTAGGGTTTAGTGTTTAGGGTTTAGGGGGAACCCTAAACCCTACATAAACCCTTTAGGGTTTTAGGGTTTAGGGTTTAGGGTTTGGGGTTTAGGGTTTAGGGTTTAGGGTCTAGGGTTTGGGCCTGAGTGGCTTCCTCCCGGAGGAGCCCTTGGCTCGTGCCGATCCGATGTTCGACCAGCTGCCTGTCAGGAGCCACACTCAGAGCGGTTCTGAAGCCTAGAAAAATCCGCAAGCAAGGCGAGGGTTTAGGGTTTAGGGTTTAGGGTTTAGGGTTTAGGGTTTAGGGTTTAGGGTTTAGGGTTTAGGGTTTAGGGTTTAGGGTTTAGGGTTTAGGGTTTAGGGTTTAGGTTTAGGGTTAGGGTTTAGGGTTTTTAGGGTTTAGGGTTTAGGGTTAGGTTTAGGGTTTAGGGTTTAGGTTTAGGGTTTAGGGTTTAGGGTTTAGGGTTTAGGGTTTAGGGTTTAGGGTTTAGGGTTTAGGGTTTAGGGTTTAGGGTTTAGGGTTCAAGTTTTGCAGGGTTCAGATTGCGAGGGTGTTGCACCCGTCAAACTTCACCCATCTCGCAACGACTGGGCCTGTGCTGGAACCAGCGATCATGGAAGGCGTCCTCTCAGGTTCATCGCAGAAGTCTCCGTCACGCTCAGGGTTTGGGGAAGCTGTTGAAGGCTCTTGAGCGATTGTGCCCCTTGAGTACCCCCTAAACCCTCAACCCTAAACCTTAAACCCTAAACCCTACACCCTACACCCTAAACCCTAAACCCTAAACCCCTAAACCCTAAACCCCAAACCCTGAACCCTACACCCCTCACCCCCTTGAGTACACAACAGCCCCGTTGGTCCTGCAGCTCCTTGAGGTCGGCATCCTGAGCCCAGTCTATGACATCAGCTGCTTTCCCACGACATCGCACCCGAAACCTTAACCCCTAAACCCGAAACCCTAAACCCTCCCTAAGCCGTAAGCCCTAAACCCTACACCCGACACCCTAAACCGGAAATCATGCTAAGCCCCAACTTAAGAAACGTAATTCCCAACATCTCAAGCTAGGGTTATGGTCTAAGTCTAGGGGGGTTAGGGTCCTTTCCGAAACCTTCAAATCCGCTGGCCTCAGAGATTTTGACCGTACCAACTTGGCATCGGTCAGAACACAAAACATTCTGCTCATAAAAGAACACACAGCCCCTAAGACACAAAACTCACGTTTAGACTGAATACTTCCAAACTCCCAGCATGTAGACCCTCATGATCATGATTGATCTGGGTAAGCCTTAATGTGAGTTACTAACCGGCTTAGGGATTTCAACTTGGTAAGGATAGTGATGCCTATGCCTACGGCACGTCAACAATTGAGGAGCCTGAAAGAAATCTTTAAGATTCTTAACGTAAACCCTAAACCCTAAACCTAAACCCTAAACCCTAAACCCTAAGCCCTAAACCCTAAACCCTAAACCCTAAACCCTAAACCCTAAACCCAACAACCTGCAATCTCAAGGCCCTTCAGTGCCTCTTCAACACAATTAGGGTTTAGGGTTTAGAGTTATCCCCCTTACGATCCCGCAAAACCCCCCGTCTTTCCACCCCCCATAATCCCCATGATCCCTCATCAGGGCAAAGCTTTCGTCACGTTCGGCCCTCTAAACAACTAAACAACTAAACAACTAAACAACTAAACAACTAAACCCTAAACCCTAAACCCTAAACCCTAAACCCTAAACCCTAAACTCAACAGGGGCCTCCTCTGGGTCCTAGCAACCCAGCGGATGAGGAGCCCACCCCGGTGTGCTCCACGACAATGAGACCGAGCTGGAAATCCTGCGCGACGCCCTAAACCCTAAACCCTAAACCCTAAACCCTAAACCCTAAACCCTAAACCCTAAACCCTAAACCCTAAACCCTAGACCGACTCGGAGGCTGTTGAGGGTTTAGGGTTAGTTTTGGGGGAGCCTTCGGACAAGGCTTCGGGCGAAGTACAGCGCGCGGAGGTCTTTCGTTGAGGACGGAAGTATGGCGAGGCTTTGGAGAAACAAAGTTGAAAATGGGGTGCAGGGTTTAGGGTTTAGGGTTTAGGGTTTAGGGTTTAGGGATGAGGGTTTAGGGTTTAGGGTTTAGGGTTTAGGGTTTGGTGTTTAGGGTTTAGGGGGCGGGGTTCGCATGACGTATGCGAACCTCTGAATCCTCAGTCACCTCATCCCTGAACCCTAAACCCTAAACCCTAAACCCCAAACCCCAAACCCCAAACCCTAAACCCAGTCAAGGCCGTACACCCTGGCAGGCGTTTGGCAAGCCCTCCTTCCACATGCGGTCGACACAAAACGCCCAAGCCTGAAAATTCATTTCGTCCCAGAAGGGACTGAGGCAACGACTAGCCTAGCCTTCTTAGCAAGCAAACCCTAAACCCTAAACCCTAAACCCTAAACCCTAAACCCTGATGACCTTAAGTCGGAAAGGTCGTAGAGCAGCACCAGCCTGCAACTCCACGCCGCGAGCAAACGTCTCATCGCTGAACATCTCCTCCCGTAGCTGCCGCAGCTGAGACATCCTATCCCATGACAATCATCCTCTGTGCACGGTAGCCCTAAACCCTAAACCCTAAACCCTAAACCCTAAACTTCAGCAACCCTGCGTCTGAATGGACAAAAACTGCATCAACCTTGGGTTGTTGCTTGGACGCTTTGGCCTTTATGCCAAACCTCAAAAATCCGCAAGCCTACTGGTTCTCCGTAGGGACTAAGGGAAGGAGGTACCCTGTATACTTTCTTTAAAAGACACTGAACCCGAAACCCTAAACCCTAGCCCTAAACCCTAAACCCTAAACACTAAACCCTAAACCCTAAACCCTACACCCCCCAAAGCACCGCCTGCATGAGGGGTTCGACTCGCTCCTGGGCTTGGTGGGGCTCGAAACAGGGGTGTTAGGGCTTAGGGCTTAGGGCTTAGGGTTTAGGGTTTAGGGTTTAGGGTTTAGGGTTTAGGGTTTAGGGCTTAGGGCTTAGGGCTTAGGGTTTAGGGTTTAGGGTTTAGGGTTTGGGTTTGGGGTGTTAGGGTGTTAGGGTGTTTTAAGGTGTGTTAGGGTGTTCTAGGGTGTTTAGGGTATGTTAGGCTGTGTTAGGGTGCTTCAGGGTCCGTTGGGGTGTTTAAGGGTGCTGTGGTGTTGGGGTGTTGCACTGTTAGGGGGTTAGGTGATTTCTGATTCGATGGCGACAGTGTCTGCAGCCGTTGCAGAGTCCTTTGCCCCAAGTTCCTCCGCGACCACCGGCTCTCAAACAAGCTCGAAGCCAAGTATCTCAAATGGGTTTAGGGTTTAGGGCTTAGGGCTTAGGGTTTAGGGTTTAGGGCTTCGGGTTTAGGGTTTAGGGGCTAGGTTAATCCCAACTTCCCCTCCTCCCCCCTTCCCCCCCTGCCCCTCCCAAAAGCAAGCACACCCACACAGATCCTCCCCCCAACACCCTAACAAAAGCGTCCCGACAAACCTGAAAACCAATTTGGAAGCCCAATCACAGGATCAAACTGCAAACGGCACTCACAAGCTAGGGATCACCCTAAACCCTAAACCCTAAACCCTAAACCCTAAACCCTAAACCCTAGCCCTAAACCCTAAACCCTAAACCCTAAACCCTAAGCCCTAAACCTCCAGCCAAGGGGCGGAGCTGCTGACGATCTTCGTCTGCGCGACCCGGCCTGGGAAGCCGCGCACATCAAGGGGTTTGGGGTTTGGGGTTTGGGGTTTAGGGTTTAGGGTTTAGGGTTTAGGGTTTAGGGTTTAGGGTTTAGGGTTTAGGGTTTAGGGTTTAGGGTTTAGGGTTTAGGGTTTAGGGTTTAGGGCTCCCAAGCCTACAAGGGGTTTAGGGTTTAGGGCTTGGTTTTAGGGTTTGGGGTTTGGGATTTAGGGTTTAGGGTTTCGGTTTTAAGGTAAGACCCTCAGTATGAGACCTTTATTGAGGAACCCTCATATACCCCTTAAAAACGGGAGTAAATCCCGCATGGGCCGGCTCACGCCCTAGAATCCCTCACCCCACCATTTTAACCCCTGGCCCATGGGTGATTCTTCAAATTAGGTCACTTTGGGGGTCCTTCTTGTACGGGTGCCGTACTGTATGATGACCCGGAAAGGGACCCTGGCCTAGATTTGAGAACTACCCCTTGTAGCACATCCCGGCTTACTCTTGGTAGCCCAAAAGCGACATCACAGTAAGGGCACCCTTTGTTGGGGTTGGTTACTTCAAAAGGGAACCCCAGAACCAAAAAAAGGGCGGCGCCACGGTAATTGTAGGCATCAAGCACTAAACCCTAAACCCGAAGCCCGAAGCCCTAAGCACTAAGCCCTAAGCCCTCAGCCCTAAACCCTAAACCCTAAACTCTATACCCTACCAAGTGCCCACCCACCCCTTCCCCAACGGGTCGGCGGAGAGGCGGTTGAAGGTCTCCACCATCTTCGTCTGCAGAGGTTTGGCGTGCCCACTCCGGTTTAGGGTTTAGGGTTTAGGGTTTAGGGTTTAGGGTTTAGGGTTTAGGGTTTAGGGTTTAGGGTTTAGGGTTTAGGGTTTAGGGTTTAGGGTTTAGGGTTTAGGGTTTAGGGTTTAGGGTTTAGGGTTTAGGGTTTAGGGTTTAGGGTTTAGGGTTTAGGGTTTAGGGTTTAGGGTTTAGGGTTTAGGGTTTAGGGTTTCATTGAAATCATTAAGGGTTCAGGTCCGGGGAAGTTTCGAGGAGTTGCGTTTTTTGGAATTATTCCTAATAATTTCAAGTTAGGGGGCTTGAGGGTTTAGGGTTGGTTTAGTGTTTAGGGTTTAGGGTTTAGCGCTTAGGGCTTAGGGCTTAGGGTTTAGGGTAGGGTCGGTGTCTTTTGGGGTTCAAGGGTTTAGGGTTTAAGGCTTCAGGGTTGAAGGAACCTTTCCGGGTTTTAGGGTTTTTGGCCGGCATAAAGTGGCTTCGCATCTTCAAGTTTTCTATTTGATCTCGGCAATCCTGACAGTCGTCGTCCCTTCCTCTGCGTAGCCAAGGCAAGGCTCCGAAAGCGAGCGCATAGATCCTAAATCCTAAAAGCCCAGTAAAGATAATGATCATAAGAACTATAAGAACTATAAGAAGTATATCAAAGCCATAAAACGAAAATAACTGGAATAAAGAAACTCAAATAACTGTAACAACGAGAATAACTGAAATTACACAAGAACTTAAACGGCCAAAATAAACTAAACAAAACTCTAAAAACCATAACAACTATACTAACTATGATAGCCATAATAACGACCATCACAATAATGACTGTAACGACAATAGCTGTACTGACTGTATGATATAGGCGCCTGTAAAGATTAGAATAGGGTTTGGGGGGGCTCTTGTAGTAACCCTAGACCCTAAACCCTAAACCGTAAACTCTAAACCCTCCACCCTAAACCCTTAACCCATAACCCTCAGACCCGAACCCCTGTATTGCCCCGCGTGCCTTTCTCTTTGCCCTCGCACGGGTCGACCTGGGCGGCCCAGGGCCCGGACTCGAGGGTTTAGGGTTTAGGGTTTAGGGTTTAGGGTTTAGGGTTTAGGGTTTAGGGTTTAGGGTTTAGGGTTTAGGGTTTAGCGTTTAGGGTTTAGGGCTTAGGGCTTAGGGTTTAGGGCGTGCCAAACGGAAGCGCGCTTTGGGAGCGCACAATAGTCTGCAGACCTACCCACCCCAAGACCGCCCACTTACAACTCTCAAGGAGTTAAGACCTTCTTGTATTTATTTACAAAGCATCACATGGTTCAGCACTCACGCCCTTTTGAGACCTCCACACGTGCGTGGACAGCGTGGGTTGGCGCAAAGGGGCTAAGGCCAGGGAGGCAGGGCCGGAAGGCAATGCGGACAACAAAACGGCCTGGTCCCCACAGCCCAGCAGACGGGGGTTCAGGGACCCAGGGGGCCCCCAGGGGCCCTCCCAGGGGGCCTCCAATGCAGGACCGAATAACATGGGGCTTGGGGCAATATAATATAATACAGACTCGGCCTGTGCTTGCCTGGACGGTCGCCCGCCTGGGGCTCCCTCGCAGGGTCTCACTGAGAGCTCGACCACCAAAACACAAGAAAGTGGGTGGCGGGCGGGTGTAGGGTGTAGGGTGTAGGGTGTAGGGTGTAAGGTGTAGGGTGTAGGGTGTAGGGTGTAGGGTGTAGGGTGTAGGGTGTAGGGTGTAGGGTGTAGGGTGTAGGGTGTAGGGTGTAGGGTATAGGGTGTCAGGAATCAGGGCTTCAGGGCTTTGGGGTGGGAGAATGGATGGAGATATCGCTTGCGGCTGAGCTTTGCAAAGCCAATGTGGCCGAATCTCAAGCCGCATTCCAAACAGCAGCACGAACGACATGTATAGGTTTTCATTTGGCGATCGAAGAGGATCACTGTAGGAAGGCTGCCGGCCATCCTCTAATAATCTAAGAGGTGGTTAACCCTGAACCCTAAACCCTAAACCCTAAACAACCCCGAATCTCAGATTTGTGTAAGCCGTGGTCGCTGAGGGGCCTCGGTTTGTCCGATATGGCGAACGCTTACTGAAACCCTAAACCCTAAACCCAAATAAACCCTAAACCCTAAACCCTAAACGCTAAACCCTAAACCCAAAACCCTAAACCCTAGACCCAAGCCCTAAACCCTAAACCCTAAACCTTAACCAGCAATTTCGTCAGAGGCTCTTTTCCCGATCTCGGAGGGCCTTGAAGCCGGCCCGGAGGACGTCGCCTTGGGAGATGATGCCCATTTAGGGTTTAGGGTTAAGGGTTAAGGGTTTAGGGTTAGGGGTTAGGGTTTAGGGTTTAGGGTTTAGGGTTTAGGGTTTAGGGTTTAGGGTTTAGGGTTTAGGGTTTAGGGTTTAGGGTTTAGGGTTTGGGGTTTAGGGTTTAGGGTTTAGGGTTTAGGGTTTAGGGTTTAGAGTTTAGGGTTTAGGGTTAAGGGTGCAGCGTGTAGGGTTTAAGGTTTAGGGTTTACGGTTTGGGTTTAGGAGGGCATCCACGCTTCATGAAATCAGGGGGGGTTTTAGGGCTACCAGGGGTTGGGGCTTAGGGTTTTGGGTTTAGGGTTTAGGGCTAGGGTTTAGGTTTAGGGTTTAGGGTTTAGGGTTTAGGGTTTAGGGTTTAGGGTTTAGGGTTTAGGGTTTGAGGGGTTTGAGGGGTTTGAGGTTGTTGGGTTTGGGGCTCTCGGGTTTAGGGCAAAAGGCTTCATGGGTTCAGCATTTCGGGCTTGGACCTGCCGATGAACATCTGGTGGTTCCCTAAACAAGGGTCTTGTTTTCTGTTTTTTGGGGTCCATAGTTGGAATAGTGCCGCTGTATATACACACACACATATATATATATATACATATATATATATGTACATATGTATACGTATATGTATATATATATATATAAATAGATAGGACCTGAACAGGAGCCCGAAATTCAGGAACTATGTAGTAAATGATGCGGTGCTTTTGTTGAGGAGCGGTAGGTGGGCCTCAGGACAAGCCTCTTCAAGGAATACCTTGGCCCACAGCCTAATAAATCATTTAAATACATTAATTTTCAGGGTTTAGGGCTTAGGGTTTAGGGTTTCGGGTTGAGGGTTTTGGGTTTTGCGTTTAGGCTCTGTGGCGATAAACACAAGGACAGACAGGCAACAGGATTGAAAAAGCAACGCAGCAACAGCTCAGGTGTTACAGGTTGCAGTGCAAGCGTCGCAGGCGTTTGACGGCACTCGTCACAACCTCGAAAACCGCCGCCCTGGCATCTAGGGTTTAGGGCTTGGGGTTCAGGGTTTAGGGTTCAGGGTTTAGGGTTTAGGGTTTATATAGGGTTTAGGGTTTAGGGTTTAGGGAGGTTGGGAGAACGGCACATGTCGGAGCCCTGCTGAAGCAGACAAGGACTTGACATCTCGAACCCTGAGGCCCTTTAAATCGACAAAAACCCAACACCCCACAAGCCTCGAACCCCAAAACCCTGGCAGGCCCCTCTGTCGTCCCCACATTCCTAGGCCCTCAACCCTAAACCCTAAACCCTAAGCCCTAAACCCCAAACCCTAAACCCTAAACCCCCTAATCTGGCCTCTCCGTTGGGATGGTAGACATACGATTTCGGAAGCTCTGGCCCTGCTTCTTGCGGACCAGCTCCTGGGTTTCAGAGGGTTTAGGGTTTAGGGTTTAGGGTTCAGGGTTTAGGGTCTAGGGTCTAGGGTTTAGGGTTTAGGGTTTAGGGTTTAGGGTTTAGGGTTCAGGGTTCAGGGTTTAGGGTTTAGGGTTTAGGGTTTAGGGTTTAGGGTTTAGGGTTTAGGGTTTAGGGTTTAGGGTTTAGGGTTTTAGGGTTTTAGGGTTAGGGTTCAGCAGCTCCGGGTCGAGCATTTTCATTCGGACGTGCAGAGCATAGATTTAGACAAACACCCACCTGCCCAAAGAATCCCGCAACATTAAGAAAATAAAGGGTCTTCATTAATCATTTGTGTTTCAGTTGCTCACCATTCCTTCCACCCCCCAGTCAGAGTGATCAGGGCCCGGAAACCTAATAACATTGGTCCGCCAGACCTCGGAAAAGCGAATAATATTGTCTCCTCAGGGCCCTAAACCCTAAACCCCGATCGCCGATCGCTAAACGCTAAACCCTACCCCAGCCGAAACCCTCTAAACCCGAAATCCTAAACCCTAAGCCCCTGGAACCCAACGACCCTAAGTCTTAAACCCTCTTATCCCGAAACACTCTAAATCACCCTGTAAACCCTAAACCCTAAACCCTACCTACACCCTAGACCCTAAGCCCTGGTGAGCCAGCTCTCAGTGCCGTGCCTCTCGGATGTACTCGACCCTGCTGTAGAAGAAGAGCACCCGCCTTTCAGGGTTCAGGGTTGGGGTTTAGGGTTAAGAGGGTTTGAGGGTTTGAGGGTTTTCGGACAAGAGGGTTTATGGTCTAGGGTTGGGGTTTGGGGGGTTAGGGTTTAGAGGATTTGAGGGTTTTGGGATTAGAGGGTTTCAGGTTTAGGGTTGTGGGTTTAGGGTTCAGGGTTGAGGGTTTAGGGTTCAGGTCCCCTCAGCCCATATACTGCAAGACAGCTCCTGCCGTTTTGCAACCCTCTTGACACTCGGCGCCCGGCGAAGAGAAGCCCGAAGCATCATGTTTCGGTTGGGGTTAAGGTGTAGGGTCTAGGGTCTAGGGTCTAGGGTCTAGGGTCTAGGGTTTAGGGTTTGGGGTCTAGGGTCTAGGGTTTAGGGTTTAGGGTTTAGGGTTTAGGATTGAGGGTTGAGGGTTGACGACACAGAAACCTAAACCCTAAATCCTGAATGCTGAGGCCCACGGGCCAGAGGGAGAAAAAAGACTCCCGAATCCCGAGCAGCATTGAGTTGCCACGAATCCAAAACCGGGATTGGGCTTGGGGTTTAGGGTTTAGGGTTTAGGGTTTAGGGTTTAGGGTTTAGGGTTTAGGGTTTAGGGTTTAGGGTTTAGGGTTTAGGGTTTAGGGTTTAGGGTTTAGGGTTCCAGACATCATCCGCGTCGCGTGGAATCATTGAAGAAGGAGTCGCAAATAAGCCTGACCGGGCT